GCCCTGCTACGACATTCGACTTTGCGATTAGAAAGGATATTTACACCATGGTAGTGGATGGGAGGGAAGGGTAGGACGTCAGATATGACGCGAGCGCACCTAGCTGGTCCTCCCCCCCTCCTTCTCCCCCTCCTCCTCCTCCTTCTCCTCCTCCTCCTCCCCCTCCTCCCCCTCCTCCTCCTCCTCTTCCTCCTCCTCCTCCTTCTCCTCCTCCTCCTCCTCCTCCTTCTCCTCCCCTTTCCTCCTCCTCCTCCTGCTGAGCCATTCCTCTCGGAGAAGCGGGGGCGCGCCGCTGGGTCTCGCGCCCGAGCTCCACTCGGCAAACCCGGGAAGGACGCTGCCGATCGGGGGGCCTGACAGAGGGGCGCCCGCGGTCGACGAGGCAGATGCGTGCACCACGGTGGAGCTGGCCGCGCAGCGCGAGCCTGTAGGGCGACCGAATCTATACATATCCACTGCTCCCTGGCCAGGCACGCCGTGAACCCAGCAGCAGTGTATACGCCACACCCTCCTGGCTGGGCCAGGAGGGCGTATACACAGCTCCTGGGTTCAGAGTGGGCCTGGCCAGGGAGCAGTGGATATGTATAGATTTCGTCGCCCGAGCCTGGTCAACGTGGAAGAAGAAGGCTCACTGCTCGCTTGCAGCCACGCGCTGGGAGGGCGTCGGGGTACGTGCGATGGCGGCCGACCGCGTGCCAAGCAGCCGTGGGTGAGCCAGAAGGCGAGGAAGGCTAGCATGGCCCAGGCCTCGCGGGGCAACGGAGGCACGTGCCGCCGGTGTCCTACGCTCCCCACTACGGTTTTCATTTCAAAGTGTGGGCGGGTGTTGCCATACTCTTTGTCTGCACTTTGTTGCACCATCCATTGGAGCACTTGAAATAGGAAGTACCAATGATGGCTGGCACGCTTGCCTTAAATGTGGATTGTCACGTATCAACATGTATAAGTACACTGTCGCCCAGCTATACTGAAAACAATTCAATGATGCATCAATGCATCACGTTGACTTGCATTCACACGATTGTTTTGCATGCCGCTGGATGGTCGCATTGTCGCGGCAAGCTATGGGCACATTGCTTGTCTTTCATGACGGGCCGTGCCGCAAGGCGTCGACGATGGGGTCAGGTAGTTCTAACCCTCTTTGTACACTTGTGTTCTCTCGCAACTGTCGCAACCGAGATGTATCATGTCTTTTCCCGTGTGTTCTCCTCGTTCCGCATATTTGCCCCCATGTAGCGAGAAGTGTTGCATCAGGCGAACCAGTTTTCATTTCTCCGACGTGTGGTGAGAGTTCTTGGCCGAAACAAATTTCGAATCAAATCCTCCTCCTCCTCTTCTTCCCTCAACCGCGCATGGTGCAAGTGTGCGCAGCTGCCAAGAGAGGGCACGGGGGTCGGTGGATGGGAAATCTGGGGACGGGGTCGATTCTTGGACGTTCACCGGCATCGCTTGGAGGGAGGGCTCTCTCCCTCTGAAGTGGGTGGCTGGCTCGTTGTATGAATGCCGCTTTTGGATGCCCCTCTAAGCGAGTGTCCTCCCTCCTCCGCTCTCCCTCCTTCCTCCTTCCTCATTCCTCCTTCTCCTCCTCCTCCGTCCCTCCTGCTCCTTCTGTTGCCTCTGCTTTTCCTCCTCCTGATGCCCCTTCTCATCGCTCCGTCCACCCATCCCTCCTCCACACGAACACTCCTCCTCGTCGCATTACACGACGTGCCGGTAGGGTAGGCCACGCGGTTCGCCTGACATTCCCCACCGCTTGTGCCCATGGCGCGCAAAACCTGCAATAGTCATACGGCTGGAAGGCGTGTGGTTGTTCGTGTGCGGCTCCTCGCTCTGTCACCGCGCACATGCGCTTTTGTTCAATATTCTAGCGGTCGAGCGGACCACGGGCGAGTGTTCGAGAGATCAGCCGCGAGACTAGCCTCGTGATAAGAGCGTTCGCGCAATGCATACTCTCGCAACCAATGTGGATTTCCTGTGCGCGTGCGTCCTGATCCTGCTCCTGATGGGGAGGGCGGTGCCCCAACAAACTGGCCGGGTCTTGCTAGAAGTGCTCCTGGCCCGAGGTGCCCCCTCAGGATTCCCAGAGAGGCTTCCACGGTCTCCTCAGCACCCCCTGCGAGGCTCAGGGGGCCCCGGCGGCTCTAAGATGCAGCGAAAGGCCAGGGGCACCTTGAGCAACCCCTCGAAGTGGGCTCCTCCTGCTTGTTTGTGTCTATATATATATATATAAATGTGCACATGCAGGTGCATATATGTATAGATATGAGCGTATGTATGGGTGTAGGTATGGATGTATGGATGTATGCATGTAGGTTTGCATGTATGCATGTGTGTATGTTTGCGAGCACGTCTGTACGTACGTATGCATGTATGTATGTTTGTGTGTATATATACATTCACGCATGCATGATATATACGTGTGCGTACACGCATATGTATATGTATGTATGTTTGCATGCATGCAAGTGTGTATGTGTGTGTGCATGTAGTTACATGTGAA